GCCTCTGAGGTGGACATTTTTTGGTCACCGCGAGAGAACGCGTTCGAATTTTCACTCCGGAACTTCAACTCCGCACGCGCACCGGCCAGGGCTACAATAGTGCCAGTGAGGCGGAGGCGCGAGTCGGAAGGCCGCGACCGTCAAGTGTTCCCCCAATTTTCCTACAATCGCTGTGAACCCAGCCACGTTTGGCACAACTGGGTTCGAAGACGCACAGACCACGTTCACACAAAAACACAACCCCGGACCGAGGACGCACGTTCACATAAAAACTCTCCACGTTCACGAACTAGCAGTGAAGATGTGAGTCGAAGTATGGGATATCGACCGCCGCCTTTCTTTTTACTGCCATAAGCATAAAAAGAAACCAAAAGAAAAATAAATCTGCATTTTGAAAAAAAAACACCGCCGGGATTCAGAAAATAAAAGAAAAACAGCCTAACCCCAGTAGGGACAACGCCAAACTGACAGGAAAGAAAGAACACCGCGTGGATTCAGAAAATAAAAGAAAAACAGCCTAACCCCAGTAGGTATAACGCCGAGTGCCAGACCACCAGGGGGCAAGTGTGTGTAGCACCTTCGACCCCGAAATGAAGGCCGCCACGCAAAACCGGGCGCTAGGAGAGGTGAACTGAAGGCTGAGACAACGGAGGCCGAGCCTGAGTGGGCGCCCGCGCGCCCCCACGCAGGCAAGCCTCTGTCCTTCGGCCCACTCCGGCAATCGTCCGTGGGCGGCCGCAGACAACGTGCCTAATCAATTCCCCCAACACCCGACCCCACTCTAGGGACAGCAGCGCGCTTCTCATCCCGGAGAGGGAAGGAGGGGGGGGGGGGGGGGGAGATCAAAGAGCCAAGCACGGGAGTACCCCCCATGGACCCAAGTAGGGGGGAAAGCGAGACCAAAGAGATTCAAGGCGAACTTCATCACCCGTCCAGGAGCCCCGCATTAGGTAGTTACCCCAGGTTCCAAACTAGGCTTCCCCACAGGGGCAGGAAACCCCCCCCCCCCAAGCGGGGGCCCACGGAAACCTCCTGCAAAACCCCCAAACCGAGAAATTGGGGGGGGGAGGGGCCCCCTCCCCAAGGGGGACAA